CCCAAAACCCAAAACCCTAAACTCTAAACCCTATACCCTGAACCCTAAACCCAAAACCCAAAACCCAAAACCCTAAACCCTAAAAACCAGTGCAACTCCGAGCTCCCGGCCCTGAACCTTCAACATCGCTTCGGCCGCGGTCTCCACGAGACTCTGGGAGCCGAGTTCCTGGCTCCTCGGTTTTTCGGGCTTCTGGGTTTTTGGGTTTGGGGATTTAGGGTTTAGGGTTTAGGGTTCCTGGGTTTTTCGGGCTTCTGGGTTTTTGGGTTTGGGGTTTAGGGTTTAGGGTTTAGGGTTTCTCGGTTTTCGGGCTTCTGGGTTTTCGGGTTTGGGGGTTTAGGGGTTTTAGGGGTCAGGGTTTTAGGGTTTCGAGTTTGAGGAGTTAGGATTTAGCCGGGGTTTAGGGCTTAGGGGCTGTTGGTAGGGCTTCTAGGTTCGAAAAGGTGATATAGTATAAGGGTTTCCTAAGGATCTGAGAAAGGGTTTGAAAGGGCTTCAAGGTTTAGGGTTTTGTCGGGCGGGTCCTTCTGTTGCGGGGATTCGGTGTGTAGGGGCTGTTAGGTTAGAGCTCGGCTCTTGTATGGCCTGGAGCTTCAACCCTAAACCGCAACCTGAAACCTCACACCCTAAACGATGAGGATCATATTCGTGGGGCTGTTCGGGGGATCTGGGGTCCTTCGTAACGACGGACCTCGGAGAATTCTGGGAGTTTAAAGATGTGCTCGGGAGGAATGGCTTGTGGCTGCTGCATGAGGATCCTACGGCTGATGATAGAAATCCTGCATTACCTTAAGGACCCTAAACTATGGGAATTATCAGGTATATTACGGTATATTCCTGATTATGGGTAATGCAGGATTTATATCATCAACCGTATCAGTCGCACCCGGACGTTCTGTCTGAACGACTATTCAGGCACTCAGGGTTGGGCATCGGGTCCAAGAATTACCGCTGCAATGTCTACGCCTCCGGAACAAGCAGCAACCAACAAACTATATACTTCGAGGAATGAAAACAAGTTGTCAAGTTGGGCTACGATGATTACAAACATTATTGTTATTACTGCTACTGTTATTACTATGAATTATTAAGCTACAAATAATCGTATTATCATTATTATGATTACTACTACTATTAAAAATGTATTATTGTTAATAGTAGTATGAATATATTATTATTGCTCCTATTGCTAAAACTGCTATTATTCTGCTTTTGATTATTCTAACAACTGTTATTAGTATTGTATGTACAAGTGCGGCCCGCAGCCTCCGTGACAATTCTTCGTTTATAGGGTTTAGGCAACTCTGGCAACTTGGGAGTCTAGCTGCGAGGCAAGCAGTGTAGTCTCAAGGCCTCGGACTACTACATCCCACATACCCAACCGGCAACGTTACTCCCTACTCCCACATGGAGTGCAAAGTGTCGGTTTGGCAGGGCATTCCAACCCATCCAAACCCTACTACTGAACCTTAAGCCCCAAACCCAAACCCTTGCACCCTACTATGAGGGACCAGGATCTGAACCCCCTAAACCGACCGTTGGAGTCTTCAAAAACTGGGCCAGAAGCCCGAAACCAATGGCGAGCAATGCCCTGACCTGCTATTATCAGGCCTTTGTTTGAGGGTTTGGGGTCCAGGGTCCAGGGATTGGCTTAGGTTTGGCTTCAGCAAAGTAAGGTAGCGGACCCCTTTGCCGACTTCAACCCCCTTTGACCTCTGCCTCGTAACCAGCGACTATGACCTAAACCCTAAACCCCAAACACTCAACAAGGCCCATCTGGGGCTGCGGCGCATTCCCTGCCTTGAGCTTGCCGATGCTTTCCCTCGGAGGTCTTTCAGCCACGGCGTGGGGCGTCGGGATATCGGATTTTCGGGTTTACCTGGATCCTGAAGAACCTACCTTTTTTGGGTTCTTTAAAATACAGATAATATAAGTCCTCAAACTCTGGGGTTAAGGTAGGGTTTAGGGTCTTAGGAGCTTCGGGTTCACGTGTCCAATAAGCCGAAGGCGCAACGCAAGGAGGGGTTCACAGACACCCCACACCCTAAACCCAAAGGGTCCAAGTACCATTATAGTAGGTACTTAGTAGGTATTTGGGCCCCCAAAGTATAGACTATACTGGTACTGGGACCCTTTGGGAAACCCTACAGCGAAAGTCATGGGTGTGGCAGGCTCCAGTCTTCCGTGTACGGGTCGAAAGGGACCCGAGCGCCTAATCCACGACTCTTTGAGCTTCACAAAGATAGGCAACGCTGAGCAACATTAACATAGGCACCTTAATAACTAAATTAGAATATGACATTTGAGGTGTGTTCTAGTATACGATAACTATACTGTTCAAATGTGGGAATAATTAATGCTTCATCGTGATCGTATTGATAATTGGCATTTTTTGCTAGGTATGCCGGCCCCTCGGGCGCTTTTTGCCTTTCTTCACAAAGTTCTACTCGGCAGCGCTGAGGTTCAGATGTCCGCAATCCAGCATGCTGTGCTTGCAGTTTCAAGACACAGGGCATTCTGGCTTCTGGCTGTACTGTAGTGGCTCCGCACGCGCAGATGCCGGTGGCTCTCACCCCGTCCATGAAGAGCGACATGTTGAGATGAATTCAACAAACCCGGCCCAACACCCGATTAGGGTCCCTTTTAGGGTTTAGGGTTTAGGGTTTAGGGTCCGTAAACCCTGTAAAAACTCTGAAGCTGTATTGAAAACGTGCAACCCCTACCCAAACTCCTCTGCACCTGATCTGTCAGCCCGAAGCGAGGCCTTCAACTGTCATTAAGTCAAGAACTGAAGGTTTCAAAGGATGGGATGAGAGACCTGCCGACAAACTAAATCATCTTTGGCGAATGCCACAGCCTGCCGTCGTTTAACAGCAGCCGGAATTTTTGTCTAAACAAAGCCTCTTCCTGCCGCTCCCGGGACGGTTTGTTTGCTTGGGAACCCTAAACTCTATAAACCCTTGCTTTTGTGGTTTCAAGTGTTCCTGGTTCAGGGCAGGATTTGGGTTTGAGGTTGAGGGTTAGGGGTTTTTATGGCTTTAATTCAATGCCTTCCGTGTTTAATTCGGGGTTTTAGTGCTTTGGCTTTGGGTTTAGGCCGTCTAGGCTCAAAGGTTGTGGCGTGGTTTCACCTTTGAGGTTTCGATGTGGGGATTTCCGAAACTGGGGGACCCTAAGATAGGGTTTAGGGATTAGGGAGGTACCCCTTATTTTCGGAAACTCCCATGTTGTGGGAACACATGTATCGAAACCCTCAAACGGAGCTACAACTGCTTGACAATGCAAAAGCAGGTCGGCGTGTGTCACAAGACTTCCCCCAACACCCCAACTCCTGTGTAGACCCCATATGTAATACAGGTATCGAGGACATGTGTGACACTATCCTTAGATGGCTTCAAACGTACAAATACTGTAACCGTCCATCATCTACCCCAGAACTCTATTCTCATGATGGACTCTCCATTACAGATATTCCCAACATCCTGTTGGAATCACCTCCATAGTTGCGCAGTTCCTCAGGCCTCAAAATATGTCTATTTTCAGCCTGAACGGAGTTACATAATCCCGAACCCTAAAGACCGGATCTTGCGTGCACGTCGTCTCTTGCCTTGTTAAGATGAGACCCTGGGTGCAACAGGCCGGCTTAAAAGACCATGCAATTCGACCTTGCTTTCTTTTCCGTGCAGGTGACGGTGTCTATCCTTGTTTATGCGAGTTTTGCCTGTTAGTTTTGCAAGCGGGCTACATTACCCCTTAAGCTTCACGTCTATACAGGCTCAGCTCAACAGGTTAAGGGCGCATGCAGTGTTGTATAGTGAGCAAAAGTCAAGATCCACCATGCTGGCGTGCCGTCCACGTTGTGGACGTCGCTCAGCTCACTGTGCTGTGAAATCTTCCTCGGGCTTTTGGGCTTGGAGTCGCGGTCAGTGCCTTGAGTGAAGGGGTTGCGTTTGAGGTTCCGCGATCTCTGGCAGCTCGGAACGGACGGGGTAATACAGAGCCTGAGGAATCAGAATAGGATTTGAAGATTTTTTTGGGGGGAATGGGACATTACAGTGTAACTACAAAGGGACTACGCACAACAGGGAATATGCTTATTCATTCTTCATTCTTCCCTGTATTAGCACAAAGCCTCGATGAAGGGGCTTGGGAAAACCTCACGAGCAGTCTGAATAAGTTTAGCATGGCCCCTCATTGCTAGCAGACCGATTAAGTTGAGGGTTTTGGGATCTAGAATAAGCTGAAGTTAGCAAGATTCCGTTACACAGTGCTGGCTTCGTTGCTGAGAGCGCAACGACCGTAGAACTTTGTACTCCGCTACAACGAAACCATGAACCGAAACCTTAAAAGTGAAGCACGGAGGTGGGGGAGGGCGCCTAATTGCAGTCAGTCTTACTCTGCAATTTCAGCTTGTTGCTGACACGTAGACGGGGGTTATAGCTGCATTCTGCAATTTGGACTCCCCACCCCCTCAAGGGCGGGGATCCAAAAGCCTAGAAGAAACTATGATACCTGCACTGCAGTGTCCCCTCGATGTCAATGCAATGCATGAACGATCTAGCCCTCAAGGATTGTCTGCGCACCCAAACCGTGATCTGCTGCCAAAATCCTGAAGCGGCAAGCTACAAGATGTAGGAAAAGGTGCATTGAATTGAGAGTTACCAGTTCAGCGTGCCGGGGTTCTGGCCACCGGCTTAATGCAAGGCTTAGAGTTTAGAGTTATAGGCAGCTGCAGGTCTCACGTACCGTTCAGGGCGCATGACTGCAATGTGAGGTCTACGACGTGCACCTTACGTCGTCAGCATTAGAGTTCAAGGTGGAAGACATGCACGTGATGCCGATGTCCAAAGTACTTTCCAAGTTGCTGTCGAATCTCACCGCATCACGAATCCTTCAGTCGCTACTTGCTCTGCATGGCGGTGGTAGGAGAGGAGGTAGCGAAATCTAAGCTATCGTAGTAATCACAACCAACCAAGAGCCCATCTATGATTAGTCCTGGCTTGAAGCAAAGCACATTGAAGTGAAAATCCGGAATCCACCAAACGCTTCAACGCCCACACGTTTGGCTTTCATGGGTTTACACAAGTTTTATGCACCCCAGAAGTTTGTTTAGCTTGAGAACTCAGGTACTAAGATTCTTCAATCTGCACACAAGCATCATGTATGCGCGCGGCAGGCTTGAAACGCTGGAAACTTCCTAAACCCCTGACCCTGAAACCTCAACCGTGTGGATAAATTAATCCATAGATCCGAACACTCTAAACCTGCTCTGTCGGCGAAGGGCTTGTCTTGTAGATTCATACTTAACCGATTGCTCGGGCACTGCTTGTATATAAGTGCCCCCGCAACGCGAATGAAAGGGCCGGCCTCCTGAGTTGACGTGTCCACTGTACATTGTGGAGGCCTACTGATACGGACGACTTTGGCAGCCAGGCAGCCAGCTTCTCCACGAACCTCCAGCAACTGTAGCCTGGGGCGAGGACCAATGCAACAATCGGAGCATCAGGCCAGGTTGTTTAAGGTTTCCAATATCGATTGTTTAAGGGATTATAAGCTACTAGTAGGATCCGTACTATGATGTAAAGTATCTTCCTTAACTAAGGGATATTGGAGGTTCTGGGTACCTGTTCTAGAAGGGATCCGTCATAGAGTTATAGGCTTGGGCGTTTCCAAGCAAGAGTCCTTCTTGTAGGGGATGGCTTCGGTTGAGAATTCGACTTAAGGGTGGAGGGTTAGCGATCCCCTAAACCAGTACGTCCTTGAACCCGAAACTGAAAATCTTGCAAACATTTGCACCCTACCCTAAACCCTAAACCCTAAACCCTAAACCCTAAACCCTTAAAGCTCTACCGCGCAAATTACGAGTCTCGGCCATCCTCTTCCTCGAAATGCTTCAAGCAAAGGATCAACTTCTACCGTGAACCACAGTAGCTCGCATACCCCCCATTTCAAACCTATATATATATATATATACACTCACATGTACATGTCACTCTTATGTTCATACATAACCGTAATGCCCAAAATTAAACTCTAAACCCAGAGCACTGTTCCATCCCGCCTGCGAGTGCAGCGCTGCTGCCGATACCAGCACTTCGCTTCCACAGCTCGCATCGCCCAGTTTGGTGGTACTCTACGCCTTAGCCAAGGCTGCAGCGCTTCATTTTTGAGTTTAGGGTTTAGTTGGTTTAAGTGCCCCTCACGCATCTAGGCACTCAGATTTGGGACACCTACTGAGCGCTCAACTGCACACAAATCCTGCTTGCCAAGTCTCGATCTTGCAAGCTTCCCCCGATGCTAAGCGTTAGCGTCTGATGGAACCACGAACCCGCATGGACGACGCAAGACTTTACCCCAAACCCCAAACTGACTGCAGCTCATGCACCTCTGCAGCTGCTGGTGATCCGGCATAGATCCTATCACCATGCAGGCGGCCAGGAAGAACATACAGTTAAGGCTTCCTGGTCTTGGCGTTTGGGTTTGTGCTCTCGAAACCATTTGTTGCAAACCACCGGTTCATAAATCCGGTTGCTTGAAGGGCCTTGACATTGGGATCCCGACGATGGCCTCGGTGGGGGAGGGCTATTATAGCTAAAGCCTAAACCCTACCTGAAACCTAAGAAACCTACCTCATTGGGCTCCTTATTATGATTTTTCAATTCTTAACACTCGTAGGGTGTTGGGGGTCAAGGTTGACCCTGAGTGTACGGCCGAAGCTTTCTCTGAAGAATCTCTCTGACTCAATAGCTTCAGGGTTGTATAGGCTTGCAATGGGAAGGGGTTCATAAGGCTTCTACGGCTTGTACGGTTTTTATTAGGGTTGCATAAGGTTTCTATTGTCTGGTACAGGTTTGTTACAGGGTTTCTCTGTAAGGCTTCTATAAGGGTTGAAACGACTAGATCCCAAAGGGTCCAAGTACTAGTATAGTGTATACTTTGGGGGCCCAAATACCTACTAAGTACCTACTATAATGGTACTTGGACCCTTTGGGAATCATACAAGGTGGTCAAAGGGCGTCTGCAGACTCTGAAGTCTAAGTCGAAATCCTTCGAAGAGAAGCTGTCGAGCCCTTCCGCCGCGTAAGCCCCGCGGAGCCCTCAACTGCAAAAAGCTTGCGAAACCCAAAACCCTAACCCCTAAACCCTAAACCCTAACCCCCCTAAACCCTAAACCCTAACCCCCCTAAACCCTAAACCCTAACCCCCTAAACCCTAAACCCAAACCCCTAAACCCTAAAGCCATAAACCACCAAAAGCCACTGGGCCTGGCAAGACAGCAAAGACGGCAAACCAGAGACGACATCGAAGTAGCTTGCGGCATTGTCACCGGGACCTCAGGGACTTGGCGATAGGTTTAGGGTTTAGGGTTCGTGGTTGAAGTTGTATGACGGATTTGGAACCAGTGGTATATTGGTTTTCTGATTATGTCTGCTCTGATCATGACAGGGGTTACGCCATTCTGGGTTGGTGTTCCATCCCGGATTATGGATCCCAAAACCGGCACTTTCAAGCACAGGGAAGCAGAAGGGACGGAAGCTCGTGGGGGCCAGTGGCCGCACATGCAAGATTGTGGATTTCAATTCTTTTCAACAATGGAGAAACCTTCATGATCATCATGAACCCTAAACCCTAAACCCTACAGAAACCCTACCCCTAAACTTTGAACATCATCCCTGGGCCCAACCATTGCAAACTGAAGCGAACAACCGAAACTCATACACGACACATAGGTTGATGTTGTCTACTGAACATGCGGCCTGACCCCCCAAGCCCGTCTTTGGTTGTCTAGTGCTCGTGCTCCTACCTGTTACCTTCTGGCTCCGTAGCCATTCCAGCCTAAACGGGAACCCAAAATCTCAAAGCCTAAGGCTGAGATCCTACATCCTGAACTGTTCAGGTTTCTGTTTCCTACAGCTAACATCCCACATCCCAAACTGTTCAGGTTTCTTTTTCCCAAAACTAAGATCCTACATCCCAAACTGTTCAGGTTTCTTTTTCCCAAAGCTGAGATCCTACAGGCTAAACTGTTCAGGTTTCTTTTCCCCAAAGCTAAGATCCTACATCCTGAACTGTTCAGGTTTCTGTTTCCTACAGCTAACATCCCACATCCCAAACTGTTCAGGTTTCTTTTTCCCAAAGCTAAGATCCTACATCCCAAACTGTTCAGGTTTCTTTTTCCCAAAGCTAAGACCCTACATCCAAAACTGTTCAGGTTTCTTTTTCCGTGCCCCAGGTGCTGGCACCGCGGCAAACACGGCCGACGGCACCATCCACAGCCTCGAAATCGCCTGGAGAATTGCAGTTCTCGATGGAAGGGAAACAAAAGCCTGCCGGTTCTCGGTACTGTAGGGGCTTATAATCGTTAGAACAGGGCTTTGGGATATATTATACTGTAGTTATAATCAGGAACCCCCAAAATAATATAGGCAATTATTTAGGCCCCTATATTATAGGGTTTCTTCAGCTATGGTCTCAGCAGATTGACCATACGGTTTAGGACAGAGCTTAGGTGACTAAGTCAACCATTGGGTTTAGGGTCCTTAGGTGACTAAGTCAACCATTGGGTTTAGGGCTTATACTTGGGTAGAGTCATCCAACAAACCTGGACCCTACAGCAGCAACACGGTCGTGTGGCGCAGTTACACCCGAAGATCTAGCGAATGTGATCATGCTCGGGAAACTGGAACGCCTGCTTTGTGCACGCCTGTCTACCACTCCAAGCTTTCATAGTAGCTGAAGAACACAAGAGCTCATGGTTGCACCGAGATCAGGACATACTGTTGATGATATAAATCCCGCATTACCTCATAAGGACCCTAAACTATGGGAATTATGGTATATTCCTGATTATGGATAATGCAGGATCTAATTCATCAGCCGTACGTACGAGAGCCAACACTCCCGCGGCAAACCCCCGAACCCTCAACTGCCAAATCACATGGATAGTTCTCAAAATTAGGGTCCCTTTTTAAGTCCCCAATGTAGTACGGCACCCTTATAACAAGGACCCCCAAAAAGGACCCTATTTTAGAAAACTACCCACATGTTTTTCCGGCAGCATTGTCGTGATTTCTTACATTTCGAGCCCGGCCTTCTCTTCGCGTGGGCCCTGCAGCACCCTCCGGAACGAAGCGCCAGCAGGAATAGCCTCTTCGACCGGCTCTGGTTTGTCTGAAGAAAGTCTGGATGTGTGGCTTCTGGATGCAGCTTTTCATATACTATACAATATTTTGTATATAGAGAGAGATAGAGAATTAAAGAGAGAGAGAGAGAGTTAGAGTTCAGTTAGAGCGACAGAGCGAGAGCGAGGGCAAGAGAGACAGAGAGAGAGAGAGAGAGCGAGAAAGAAACACACATATGCACACAGGCATACAGTCATACAGAAGAACTTCCCTGTCATTCACTGCCCATGAAACCTCATTCGCCAAAGCCGCAGTTCATCGGGATAAAAACGGGAAATGCAGGACGCATATAACATCACGGCACAAGTAGCGATCAACATCACATGTAAAATACGATGTTGCCGTGCTGGAACCTCAGAAACCGCTTCGGGCCATGCCATGCATGTGGTCGACGATATCGTTGACATCAACAGGTTCTATCGTCACCATCACTAGATGGTCACTAGTCAACCTAAATTCCGGTATACTCTCCATGTGGAAAAACACTGCCGGCAAACATCGAAAGCATCCTCCTCCTCATCCCCATCATCGGGGTCACCATCATTGTGTTGCTGAATCATCAACCTCACCGTGGTTCCCTTGGCGCTACCTTCCTGCTCATCCGTCATCCTCGCCGTTTACGAATGAGATCAAGGTTTCCTTCTTCGAGGGCCGGACCTATCCTGGGTCTAGATTGAGGGAGATGCTGACTGGGTCCCTCAAACGGACAGCAGCAGTCAGATCTCCCAACACATCTTTTCGTCCTCCTTATCAGGACTGGCCTGCGCAACTCCACAAATGCTACGAACGAGAACGACAACGACAGACGTGGTAGCAACGCTCAGCTTCGACATCCCACACCTTTGACACAGCCCTGTATATTGCGGTAATGCCCATGCCAAATCCCCCCCGAACAAAAGTCGAAAACAGATGCCAGTGACAAATGCTGCTTTTTTTTTTTGTGTGTGTGTGTGGGCTTTCTACCTGCCGCTGAAGGTACAGTGGTTGCTCTGTAGAGCAGAAGCGGAACATTTGGAACATGGAAGTGGGATGGTCTGCGTATCGTGTCTTACTTTCCGTTCCGGCTTCGGGGTTGTGTGATTGTGGGTGAACCCTTGCGGTTGAACCTTGATAAACCTAAACCCTACGTACACCTGAGACCTACCCTAAACTCCAGCCCTACATCCGTGAGCTAAACTTCTGTAGAAATCGTGTAAGACGAACCACGCAACCACACAAAACGACTCACTACGCACGACGCCAGCACGCTAAACAAAACAAAGCCAACAAAACACAACCACAAACAACAAAACAAAAAGTAATCCCTGTAAGCCCCAGGCCCTGAATCCTAAACCCTGAAGCCCACCCAAAAACCCCTAAGCACTATGAACCCTAAAACTGCGATTCAACCCAAACCCTACAAATCCTAAACCCCTAAACTCTAAAATGGGTTGCTGTTTAGGAACTACACCTAAGTTACCATCAGGGTCCGATAATATACAAGTTATTGTTATAAAAGGTTTCCTTCTTCTAGTAACTTAGTTAAAGGTCCTCAGCAGCAACCCAGCAGGCCCTCCAACACGAGCCGGCCTTGGAGCGGCTTGGAAGCCTGGATGCCCAGGGCGCGGGTCCAAAGCTCGCAACGCCCACCTCCCAAAAAGCAAAAAGCCACACTCTGGGTCGAAGGAGGCTTCAGGGGGCCTTAAGTTTGGGGTTTAGGGTTTAGGGCTCTAGGCTGTTTGGGGGTTTGGAGTTTTGGGGTTTAGGGTGTTTCGGGTGTTTAGTGACCAGTGCACCTTGTTGGAAAGTACGGCGGTGCGAATTGCGGGAAAATCTCCAAACTCCAGATGCGACCCGGAATGGGTTGATGAACCCAATTAAAGGGTCCAGAGTAATTATTACCCTACATGCGACTATGTAGGTAATTACATAATTTAATTACCTACATAGTCGCATGTAGAGTTTCTATAATATTACGAACCTGTATTATACTCTTGCCTATAGGACCCCTTCGGGTAAAATTGAATTTAAGGCTTGCGGCTCAGAGGCTGATCAACTTGTTACCATCGCACTGCTCATCGGTGTCGGCATGACTTGCTTACATGCATACCTTGGACTAAAGAATCGGCGCGCCTCCGCTGGAACCCTTACACCCCAAACCTTTCCAAACCCTAAATCTTAAACACCCAACCCTAAACTCAGACATTGCTCAACATTATACCATAATCCTTCACCCCTTGCTCAATTCCAACCCCTTCTGAACCGCAAACCTTAAAGTCCTGATGATTCCTATAAAAAGGATTTGTATTGCTACTAACTTGTCCCAAACGCTAAACCCCAAACCCAACCTTGATGATGCTCCACGCCCACGCAATCATCGCTGATTTGACACTGGCGCTGGCAACTCTCCAAGGAGGTGCCTGTTCTTCGGGACGGGTTCGGGCTGTTACCCTAAACCCTAAACCCCTAAACCCTAAACCCCTAAAATCCTAAACCCTAAACCCTAAACCCTAAACCCAAAGCCCTGAACCCTACACCCTAAACCTTTTGGTTTTCAGCTTCAGCTTGTTAAGGCTTTCAGGGAAGCCCAAGCCTAAACCGGTTTGGGGTCCATGCAGGGTGCGGGCTTCTAAGATCAAAGGCACCAGGGTATAGAAAAGGTTCCCATTGGTTTAGGGTTTAGGGTTTAGGGGTTTAGGGTTTAGGGTTTAGGGTTTAGGGCACGCTCTAGGATTCAGGGGTGCTGATGGTTAGAGCAACAACATCCAAGATGTAGTGTCAAGATATGTCCAGAGTTGTATCTTGGCAATGTGGGCAGTGGAAATAGTAGCCCCACACCCTTAATGACCTAATGCTCCACCAAAAGCCCTAAGCCCTGAAACAAAGGCTTCCCCAAAGGATCCTAGGTACTGTTAGGGGGGGATATTTTCCTAAATCATAGTGAGGATTCCTCTTCCTGCTATATAGGTACTTCGGACCCTTTGGGTTCTGCAAACCCCATGATGGTGAGCTTACTTGGTCTTTTATGCCATAGGCTGAAGAATCAAGACCCTCCGAGGGTCCCTTGGGTAGGTTCCTTTTTGTGAGGGTGTCCTGCTATGTTTGGGAGCTGAAAAGGGACCCCAATTCGGAGAACTACCCATATGTCAGAACTTATTTCACTGCCTTGCAGCACGCGGAAGTACGACGGCTGATTGTCAGTGGCACTGGCGCCGCGACAGACTCGCGCATCGCCGCCATCAACCGCCTGGCCGAGGCAGAGTTCGGCGGTTTAGGGTTTACAGGGGCTGGAAGGTGAGGGTTTGAAGGACCCGGTTTGGAGGGGTTGGGGCATTGAGCTGTGCTTATGATTGCTGTATCTTGGTGTCCTGGCTGTGTCTCTTGGTGCTTGCTGCAGCTGCTGCAAACGTCGACGACGACAACAACTGCTGCCCCAAAAGAAAACAAAGTGCGAATGAAGATGTCGGCATTTTGTGGATCGGCATCTGTTCAACAACTAACAACGAACAACGATAGATCTACAATCTATAAGCTAAATCCCAAATACATCCAGATCTGAGAATTAACTCTAAACCCCTGAACCCTAAAAGCCCCAGACTCGAAGCCCTGAACGTAAAGCTCATCCACAAAGCCCCAAAGCCTAAGCCGTAAAACCCTGAGGAGAACCCTGCAACCGGAGGTTTAAAACCCTAAACCCTAAACGCCTAAACCCTAAACTCTAAACCCTTAAACTTAAACCCTGAACCCCGAACCACTAAGTTCAAATCCCACAAAAGCCCGCAGCACCAAAGCTATCACACTGTAGATCCCCTCACAGTATACAGAACAAGAGGCTTTACTGACTAGAGAATACGGCTCGTACGTCCCGAAGGGTTTCGGGTTTAGGGGTTTTAGGGTTTAGGGTTGGTTCTACAAGGAATTCCTGTCAGGGCTATAACTGGAGTTTAGTATTTGGAGTAAGGTTCGGGCGTCAAACTTCTGGTATATATTTAGCTCTAGAAAATAGATAATGCCCAAACCCCAAACCAACACCTTAAACCCTAAACTGCTTAACACGCCTTGATGCTCCAGCCTCGGAGCTGTCCTACTTGCGTAGGCAACCAACCAAGCAAACGGTTTAGGGTTTAGGGTATCAGGGTTTAGGGTTTTGGGTTAACCAGCCAACCGAAATCCAAGCCCTAAAACCCGAACCCAAAAGCTGAACTGTAAACTTCAAACCTAAACCTTCCATATTTCACCGCAAAGCCCCTAACAGAAACTCTCACCCCTGCCTCGAAGCTTCCCGGGCGCAACGTCGCAGGAACTCCATAACTCAAGCAGGTGTAGCCGCCTCAGCTTGCGGCTTAAGGTCTACAGTTCAGATTTTTTAAGGCTGTATATAGTCATTCGGGATTGGTAAGCTCAGGTCATTTCGGTCTCGAGGTTTGGAAATCCTAGGCCTGGCAGACTCCCGCGGTTTAGGCTTAAGGCTGTAGGGCCGGATGCCAACTGATACGGTACCCGGTTCAGGGTTCAGGGTTGAGGGTGGTAGGTCTGCTACGTGACAGGTTTGATTTAAGAGGTCTTGCTTACGTCCTCCTTGCAGTAGTTTACAGTCAACACAAGGGGCAAGTGCAGTCACACTAGTCAGGCGGCAATAGGTACTGGGCAGGCCCATCTCTAGATACTCTTGCACAAATGCACTTGCCAAGTATATCGGTCATGAACCCTAGACCATAAACCCTAAAACCTAAACCCTAAACCCTAAAACCTTAATCCTAAAACCTTAATCCTAAACCCTAAACCCTAAACCTGAACTGTGCCCTTGAATGGTTACAGGCAATCAGAGCACAAGGGCTCTCCAGGCAACCCCCACTCCCTAATGTTAAACCGTCCTAATTACACTCTAACCTAGATCTTAAGCCCTATTAATGTTAGAAGCCCCTAGAGAAGCCGTGCAATGCAACATCGAACCCTGTTAAACAACCAAGATCTTAGCGATACTAACGGTCCAAAACCCGTAGAAACAACTTGTGAACTCTAGTCCGGGGTTCAGAATTCAGACATGACACCATAGGGGCCTAAATAATTACAAATACTATTCTCGGGGGTTCCTCATTATAATTATAGAAATATACCCCAAAACCCTATTCTAATTATTAAGGCCCCTACATTAACCACTCCAACACTTTCGAACCCTCGAAGCCCCTCACAGGCTTAAGCAGCCGCGACACTGGATTCCCTGGAGGCTTGAATGCCCCCGCTTCTCGTCCAAATCTCACAGCGGCTGCCCTGTGGCAGCGGCAACATTCAGCACAGAGTTTGCTTAACCCCCTCTCCCCCACAGCAAAAAAACACAACAAAGTAGGTGAAAGTATGATGGCCCAGCATGTATAAAAGGCAGGTTATTCTACATACTTGGGGAGTCCAGGCAGGTTTTAGGGCTTCCGGGTGTTGGGGTTCAAGGATACCGGGTCTGGGTTTCATGTCTGAGAGTTTTAGAGTTTTTTGGGCTATGGGTTAAGGTCTGCGTAGGGTTTAGGGTTTAGGGTCCTGGGATCAGGGCTTGAGGGCAATGCGCCGGCCCGAAGGTTCGTAAGGCAGGAAGCTATGAATACAAGTCTTGCCATAACCTTGTCTTGAGCAGGCCTAAGCTGGCCGATTACTGACTATGAACAACCCTAAACCCTAAACCCTATGAACATTCAAGTCGGCATTTAAAGCATAGGTTCTCCAAGCATATCCAAACGCAGAGCCCTCGAAGAAGGGCCGTCTTGGATTTTGTGGGTAGTGCCTTGTACTCGAGGCCGACGCAGTCGCTTGAGGCGACGCACTCAGACTTGCCTAAGCATCACGGTCAGCTTATGAAAAACTCAGCAGAGCTTCAGTTCAGGTATTAGGGTATTGGGTTTAGGGATTTAGGGATTTAGGATTTTATTGCGGTAAAAGTCATCTAGTGGGAAGACTGGGAAATTCAGACATTATGCTGCTTAGGCCACTGTTCTAAGCTTCCCTGAGACCCTGGAGCCCTAACCCCAGGCTTCAGACCTGAAGAGTAAGGTAAAGGGTGAATCCCAGCACTATTCGTCCTGAATCCGGTTGCCAACCTAAACCCTAAACCCTAAACCCTAGACCCTAAACCCTAAACCCTAAACCCTAAACCCTGAATCCGGTTTCCAACTTTTTTTGGGTTTACTTTAGTGGAGTGGAGGGCCTGGGCACTTTCAAGGCTGCGCCGATGGACTTCGCACGAGTTTTCAGGATCTGGGTTTAGGGTTTAGGGTTTAGGGTTTAGGGTTTTCCTTTTTGAAGTGTATTGGAGCGGACTTTACGACCATCCCGGTTTTTGTCGGTTTGGGGTTCACCTGGCATGGTAACACCATGTTTATAGGACTAACAAGGTCATGGTTACACCTTCAACCTAAAAAGGGCACAGATTCATGCACAAGACCTTCGCTGTTCCAGTTGGGTACATGCAAATCTCGAATACTACAGGCTTAATTCAGCTTTGTAGCCACTAACTATAGTCTGCGTTGTAGTCTACAGTGGGGACTATAGGTAGTTTCAGTTCCTCTTGTTGATTTAACAATTTATCAGTTAAGGATCGTATGACGCAAACCCAAAAAAGGAACTACTATGGAGGTTATAGGTAGGTTCAGTGTTCCAAATAAGCTCTGGTATACGGAGGCAGTATATAAGCAGTATAAAGCCAACCCAAAGCTGCACCCCGAAGCCCAATCAAGCACACCCAGCTTCCGGTTTAGGGTTTAGGGTTTAGGGTTTAGGGTTTAGGGTTTAGGGTTTAGGGTTTAGGGCGGCCCAACCTTCTAGTTGCCTTATAACCTCGCACGTACGATAGAAGCCTTAGCAATTAGAGTAGGGCCTTAGGGTATACTATAGTCATAACCAGGAACCCCTAAAATAATATAGGTTATTATTAAACCCCCCCAATATTACATAGCCAGATGAATTTAAGCAAATCAGTCGATCACCACACCCAACCACAGAGCACAATATCCTGTTAAACATGGCTGATGATACATCTGAGTATCTAGACAGTAAACTCTAGGACAATGCAACACTATCGGAGCAAGAATCACTGTGACCGTAACCACGCAAGCGTAATCACCATACAGGCAAAGCAGCAATGCTAGTAATCTACATGGCAACAACAAGCACTTAAAAAAGATGTGCTGCTCACGCCGGCAAAGGTTGCCAACAGCACTTGCGCTTTGGACAACCCTAAACAGAACCGTAACTAAGCGATAACAACAAAGCCGAACCTATCCCACGCAAAGGCGAGAACCAAATTGAACATCGAAACGGACCAACACCCAATGGCCTGAACCAATCAACTGAAAACAACGTTCAACCCCTTCCCACTATATACCCCAGAGCCGGCAAAGGGCCGGGCAGTGATAAACACAACACAGACACACGCAAAAGGTCTCTTCGTGCGAAGCGACAGCCGTCCAGGGAGGCAACGGTCACAACGAAATAGTAGCCTCTTGTCTGTTGTCTGTCTTCACAACGGCTTTGAGAGGCTTTGTAGAAAGGTGATTTATCACAAAGGGCTTTGTCGGGACGAGCTTGTAGTGTTGGGGGCTTATGGTCCGGCTGAAGAGTTGAGGCATAGGGTTTAGGGTTTAGGGCTTGGGATTTAGGCATCAATGTGGCGTGCTTTGGATCAATGCCACTGCTCATCAATTGGCTGTATCGCCAGGGATCCATGCCAAAGTGGGCTGTGCTTTTGGCATGGATGCCCCTGCACTGGACGAACCTTCGTTGAGGTCTCTTGGTCTCGGAGTTTAAGGTTCAAGGTCTACAGCAGTTGTTCTTTCATACACTTGCAAGAAACGGCATCATAGCAGTCCAGAAGTTGTGGTGTCACAGTGGCGGCTGAAAAGAGGAAAACCACATAACAACACAGCACGCACACAACAACAACAACAACGACGACGACGACGACGACGACAACGACAACGACAACGACAACGACAACGACAACGACAACGACAACCACCACAACCAACACCAACACCAACACCA